TTATCTCTTTAGTCTGCACACTCTCCTCTTTCAGCCCTCCCCTGAAAGATGAACTCTGCTCTGGGCCCCACCTCTGTGGGTCTGATCACCAGTATCTCCAATTCAGCACGTTCGTAACTGATGTCTCTACCTTCCCCCAAAACCCCTCTTCCTCTTCTTGAAGTCCCCTGCTGCAGTGAGAGGCATCACCATCCACACAGTCACCCAAATTAGAAACCTCAGGGAGGGGGCATTGCACATCTCTGCACTGCCTCTTCCCTCAACCCCTACGTGCAACCAGAAAACAAAGCACATGCTTTCTCCTCTCAAATCCACCTACGTCTCCCCAATCCCACTGCCTCTACCATGGCTCCAGCCTCCATGATCTCCGCATGGGTCGCTCTCCCCTACCCTTAACCCCATCACTCATTCTCCAGCCAGTGCCAGATTGCAGGGCATATCTCCCCAGGTCATTCCCATTCTCCTCAGAATGGAATCCAAGCATCCAGGCATAGCCACAAAGTTCCTGGTCATCTTGCTCCTGCTGGGCCCTCCAGCCCTGCTACTTCAACACCCTCACTCCAGCCAAATCAAATGTTTGCATCGCAGAGCTGTGTCCATACTTCCCATCTTCGTAGTTCACTCTCCACCTGTAATGCCTGACCCCCTCTACATTCCCTACCCGCTACCCCCAGCCCCTAAGCTTCTTCACCTGGACAACTCTTCATCCTCAGAGATTCAGCTTGAAGATTCTTTCTTTGGGAAGTCCATCCATAGCCAGCTGTGCTTGCCTCCCGAATGCCATGTACTAATTGTATTGGAATCGTCTGTCCATTTGCCCTGCATTGTACCAGTACATCCTTGAGGTTTGTTTCTGAGACTTTTTTTCTCAAGTCTCCAGCAGGTCCCTCTGGGTCTCCCCATGTTCTATGCTAGGATGCAGGAAAAATATTACATGGCATGGATCAAGGAATAGGCTTTATTGGGAAAATTTGCCAAGGCCAAAGGTCAACAAGAGAAGTCACATCCCCCAACCCTTCCATCTCAAAAAGAGATATGCCAGGTCCAGGATGCTGCTGGTCCTGCAGTAAGCCTGTACCCCAGTGGAGGACCCTCGCCACACCCCCCAAACCATGGCTCTCTCTTTTTATAGGGCAATTAAGTAAGAGAAAGCAGCCTGTCAATGAGGGAATAAGCAGACTGCTTAGTGCCAGGTGGTCTGGACTAGGGGTGCCAGCTGTTTACAGGAGTTGTCTGGGAATGCCAGTTTCCCAGCACATAGGGCCCTCAGAGCCTTCAGGATATTGCTGCCCTCTCTGACAGGGGGAGGAGGGACTCTGTGCTTGAGTGCTACCTCTTCTGGAGAGCTCATTATCTAGACAACCCAGAGGGAGATACAGGGTCACTTTTTGACAGTGCAACTAGTTGTGCCACACTGATCATGAATGACTGAGGGGACAGATGGGTGGATGGACGGGTGAGTGAGTGGGTGGATGGTGAGTGAGTGGATGAGTAGATGGATGATAGGATAGATGAATGAGTGAGTGGGTGAATGGATGAATGGGTAGATGGATAGATGGATGGATAAATGTATAGGTAGGTGGATGGATAAATGGATGGATGGATGGATGGATGGATGGATGGATGGATGGATGGATGGATGGATGAATGGATAGATGGATGGATGGATGGATGGATGGATGGATGGATGGATGGATGGATGGATGGATGAATGGATGGGTAGGTGGGTGGATAGATGGATAGTTGAATAAATGTATAGATGGATGGATGGATGGATGGATATATGTGGGTGGGTAGATGGACGGATGAATGGGTAGGTGGGTGGATAGATGGATAGTTGGATAAATGGATAGGTGGGTGGATGGATGGACGGATGGATGGACAGATGGGTGTATGGATGGTAGGTGGGTGTATATATGTATGTACGTGTGGGTGAGTGGGTGGATGGATGAGTGGGTGGTTGGATGAGTGGGCGGTTGGATGGATAGAAGAATGGGTGGGTCGGTGGGTGGATGGGTGGACTGATGGATGGGTGCTTCCGTGGGTGGGTGGATGGATGGATGGATGGGTGGGTGGATGTACAGATGGGTGTATGGATAGTAGGTGGGTGTATATATGTATGTATGTGTGGGTGGGTGGGTGGATGGATGAGTGGGTGGTTGGATGGATAGAAGAATGGGTGGGTGGGTGGATGGGTGGACTGACAGATGGATGGGTGCATCAGTGGTTGGATGGATGGATGGATGGATGGATGGATGGATGGATGGATGGATGGATGAATGGATGAATGAACACACAGGTGGGTGAATGGGTGAATGAATGGATGAGTGGGTCAGTGCATAGGTGGGTGAATGGATGGATGGATGAATGGGTGGGTGGCTGGCTGGATAGGTGGTGAGTTGGTGGGTAGGTGGATGGATGAATGGGTGGGTGAGTGGATGGAAAGATGAATGGAAGGGTGAGTGGGTGGATGGATGGATTGATGGGTGGATGGACAGGTGGATGAATAGATGGATGAATGGATGAGTAGTGAGTGGGTGGGTGGGTGAATGGATGAATGGATGGGTGAGTGCGTGGAAAGATGGATGAATGGATGGATGAATGGGTGGGTGGGTGGATGGATGGAATAAAAGAGTGAAAACAACAAGCACATATGAAAGCACCTGACACCTAATGGATACCCAACTTCCGTTTGTTTCCCTTTCCTTTTCCTTCTTTCTCATCTCAGCTTCAACTTTCTGGGAATACGGAAAGCAGTGACCCTGTCATCTAGTGGCAGACATGAAAGCTCTGAACCATCACGGGTTGGGGATGAGGAGATGGGCTGAGTGGCTGTGTGACAGCTCCTCTATTCCTATTCCCACAGACATCCTCAGGTTCCCCTGTGCTGGGTTGTCCCATGTTTTCTCCTTCAACATGGCCCTGATGTACATTTTAACCCAACACCACCTGACTTGAAAAGATTGGAGCTTCCCACACACTGATTTGTTCCTGGGTCACAACCCCAAGGGAGCCGCCTCCCTAAATGCATTTTATGGCACAAAAATGGGCAGGAAGGGAAGGACGAATCTGCCTCTGAGATGCTGATTAAGTCTGACCCCCGCACTCTCTTCCCACTGCCTCTGCGTGATCTGGGCTTTCATCAGCATGTGAGCTGGTGGTTCTTCCGGGTACCTCAGAAACACCTGGAAATTGTCTACAGTGCATATTTCCAGGCTTCACAGCCAGGAGATCTGTTTCAGTAGATCTGGACAGGGCCCAGAATTCTACAGTTTTTAATTTGCATCCTCAAACTGCTTCACAGTGAAGCTGGCACTCCCTGCATGCCCAGGGGATTGTGATGGAGTGAATGGGAGCCCAGGTACCCGAAGGCTCCCTACAGAGCTTTCCATCCAGCTCCCGATGGCCCTGCCTTGGAGGACCCTGCCCAGCTGGCCAGGCAGGAGGAAGTGGGCCTTTGTGGGTAACACTCCCCCTTCAGAATGTGGGTGAGCCTGGAGCACCCCCTCCCCACTGCTCCCACATGCATACACCAGAGCTCCCTCTGACTAGCAGAGGAGGGGAAAATGGGTCCAGGGGTTCTGAGCCCAGTGCCCACTTGGGGCTACGGACAGGCCTGCCCCACTCTGGAGGGCCTGTGCCCAAATGCAATATGGATGGGTGTTTCATGGCTCCAGTGAAGGATGGCTGAGGCTTCTGCAGAGGCAAGCAGTGGAGCATGAAGGCATCCAGGCAGCCTTTGCCTGGTGGGGGCCATTAAGGCTCTGCACTTGGGATGGGGGTGTGGGAGAAAGCAATTAGTGGCGAGGGAAGAGCATGAATCAGCACAGAGTCGGCTCGCTCTAATTGAGCCAACAAGTTTGTCCTGTTCGCTCTGGGCTCCCAGGGGTGGGAGCTGCATCCTTAAATGCAAAGCCCTTCTTCAAGGTGTCAGGGGAGGAAGAAGACTGTCTCCTACCCCTCAAGGGAAGAGAGGGGCTCCTTCCATTCTCCACCCCCACCCAGTGCCTGCCTCCATCCTCAAAACGCTGATTTTCTCTGCTGAAATGTTTGATGTCTTTGGACAGAAGGTTTTATTTTCTTAAGAAAGAGATTTCACATTTCTGGATCGGTGTACGTGAGCAGGTGGCCTCTGTCCGGGCTGCTCTTGTTTTTGTTTTTGTTTTTTTGAGACAGAGTCTCGCTCTGTCGCCCAGGCTGGAGTGCAGTGGCCGGATCTCAGTCACTGCAAGCTCCGCCTCCCGGGTTCACACCATTCTCCTGCCTCAGCCTCCCGAGTAGCTGGGACCACAGGCGCCGCCACCTCGCCTGGCTAGTTTTTTGTATTTTTTAGTAGAGACGGGGTTTCACTGTGTTAGCCAGGATGGTCCCGATCTCCTGACCTCGTGATCCGCCCGTCTCGGCCTCCCAAAATGCTGGGATTACAGGCTTGAGCCACCGCGCCCGGCCCGGGCTGCTCTTAAGGGATCTTCACCGTCTCCATTTCTTTGTGGCTGCATTTTCACTCCGTCATTTGGAGGAACTCAGCTAGTACCCTCCCCAAGACCGAGTCTGCTGTCTTCAGGGCTCGTGCCTGCAGAATTGTAGCACGATTTTCCAGGAGCTCTGCTTTATCCCCTTCTCTTTTTGCCCTGACATTGTTTCCCTTTAGATGCAGACATTGTGACTTCTCTTCTGGGAGGGCACAATAAAATGTCAACTGATTAACTCAATAAAATGTTTCAAAAAAATAGGAATTTTTTCCACTAGTCTAATATTTACGTTTTAATGGGGGAACTTTGATGAAAAAAAAAAAAAGAAAATCCCGTAATCCCCAGTAGCTTGGTGCTGTCATGGTAGGAGCTGTGGAGTTGCTAATTTGGCCTGACTGTCCCCACTTGGTCCCACTACAGTGGGGGCAGCATTGTCTTCCATCTACTTGTGAGATCTGCTGGTTCCAAACTTTCCAAATCCCCAAACTAATGACTTATCTTTCTCTCTTTTCTATTTTTGTTTCCTAGGAACGAGTGGAATATCTCTTTCTCATAATTTTTACGGTGGAAGCATTTTTAAAAGTCATCGCCTATGGACTCCTCTTTCACCCCAATGCCTACCTCCGCAACGGCTGGAATCTGCTCGATTTTATCATTGTGGTCGTGGGGTAAGTATCACTGCCTGTCTCTTTCCCTTTCTCTTACCAGTGTTGCGGGACTTTTCCTTAGGTTAGCTGGAGACAGGGTCCTTGTCATACAGCCACAAAAATTTAGGCTCGCAGATGATTTAGCGAGTGAGAAAAATGAGATTTATTTTGCTAAAGGAACAGAAAGGGAAAGAGAGACGCTCAGCAAAGTGAGAGTGTGCACTTCCTGCCCATGGGCTTCCCGCCTCACAGGCTGAATCCAAGGTTTTACCCAGGAAAAGGAGGGGTCAGGTCTCCCTGCTGCAAACGGTGGCGTGAATGTCTGTGGTTCCACCCCAGTGTGCACTCCTCCCAGTGTGCAGGCTGGCTGGAGTTTCTCTGGGGACCGCTTGCCATTTGGCTGTCTCACCAGTACATCCCTCTTCTTCCTTCTGTAGTATCTCTTTTCAATTTGGTCCTAACTGTGCTGGCCTTCAGGCAAAAGAAAGGATCCATGAAAATCACTTTGAATTCAGACTTCCCCAGAGGGACAGGATGTTCCCAAGAACACCCCTGTCTACCACTCCCACACAGGCACACACCCCTCTCTACCACTCCCACACCCCTCTCTACCACTCCCACACCCCTCTCTACCACTCCCACACCCCTCTCTACCACTCCCACACAGGCACGCACACACACCCCTGTCTGCCACTCCCACACAGGCGTGCTCACACACACCCTGCCACTCCCACTCAGGCATGCACACACACGGTTGGACCTGAGTGCTCCTAATGGAACCCATGCTGCTCGGTGCCGCTAAGGATATCCTCTTGCTTAAGGACTTCGTGTCATCTCAGACCACATCTGGTCCCGCAGTTCCTCTGCCAGTTTCCCTGCTGTATCACTGAGCACATTTGGGACAGCTCGTCCATGAGCATGCAGTCTGCAGGTGTGGGGTGAGGGTGGGGCGCATGTGGGCTGTGCCTGTGCTCTGGCCTCGTACAGAGGCCACATCCCCATTCTCACTCTGCAGGGGGCCTGGTTCTGTGGCCCCAGGGAACCAGACTGCTCAAGACAGGTAGATGAGAAGGAAACAGGGAACTATGAAAGACAAAGATGACAGGTAACCAAACCCCAATCAAATGCAGCTTCCCCCCAGACACCCTGCTCCACGGTAGCATAAGAGTCCGTCTAGGCTTTCAAAACAGCAATGCAAAGAATCTGAAATAAAATGTAGACGTGATCTCCTTATAAATAAGTTAGTAACCCCACAAAAAGATTCTCCATAAACAATTTGTACCTAACAGGCCTACATACACTGGTGAAGTGTAGGTTATTAAAACGCAGGTGATGAAGTTCCATCGACACATCCGTCTTGTAATAGGAGGGAGCCCATTGCAGCAGATTTTACCTTGAGAAGAAGCCGGCTCCTTTGGGCTAGTCCCTTGTTACTCTGAGCCCAGTGAGTGCTCAAGTGGCCGTCACCTTGGACTCTCCCTCCCTTGAAGTCCTGGCAGTCTGCAGAGTCAAGGCCAGAATGTCAGGAACTCTTTATCCCAGAGGCCTATTTTTGGAGGATCCTTTTGTGCCATCCCGGAGGAGACACAGCCATTGTGGATGTCTCCAGAGCACCCGCCGTTCACCATCTTGTGAGAGTGCCGGGTCTTTACTGCAGGAAATAACGCAGGAGGACGTCAAGATCATTTGCGAGTTAGTTCCTCGTCTCTGGCCATCTGGATGGCTCACGAGGTTGCTTGGAACCACGTTAGGGTTTTTTGTTGTTGTTGTTGCGTTATTTTGCCTGGCCAATGAATGATGCACTTTGGCCATATGAACCTCACAAATATTTGGGTGATACAAGGGGCACTAAGGTTATTAGTGTCATTAGCCAGGTCTAGCTCTGGCTCACAGCACTCGGGGTGTGCATGCAGCTATAGGAGAGATTTTACGGCTTCTGCTCATGCCAGAATAAACAAAGAGCGGCTAAACGCATGCCTTGAATAACTCAGTAAACCATAGCAAAAGTCCTTAAGGTGGGTTGTTCCAAATGCCCCTAAATCCTTTTCAGAATTCGGCATCTTTCTCAAGGCCTCAGTCTCCTGGGAGCCTTTTGCACATGCATAGAAAGAGCCTTGGGAATGAGAGCAGCTGCTTCTGGGACCAGTGGAGGGATGAGGGTGACTTGCAGGGACGAATTTTGTTTAGGCAAAATTTTGGAATTCTGGAGTGAGTTGGAGTTGATTATATGTGCTTTGCCCCATATGTGATCTTAATTAAATCATGAGTCGGAGAAGCAGAGACAAGAAATGCAGGGTGAGTAGGCACCAAACAGGAGCCCTGGGAGGGAGGGGCCCTGCCTGGGTTGACAGGGAGGCAGTACAGTGGTGCATCTCTGGCCCGTGCTTCATGCCTCACCTGCAGCCTGTCTGGACCTGGCTTCATCCCTTAGACTCCTCCCCACAACCACAGGGGGCCAGGCTTTTCTGTGAGGTCAGCCCAGATTCCAGTCACATCTCCCTGGGGTCTAGGCCATGAGGCTGATGAAGAGAGGGAGGCATCCAGTTGTGTGCTCCTGTTTCTTTTTTTTTTTTTTCTTTTTGAGACAGAGTCTCGCTCTGTCGCCCAGGCTGGAGTACAGTGGCGGGATCTCAGCTTACTGCAAGCTCCGCCTCCCGGGTTCACGCCATTCTCCTGCCTCAGCCTCCCGAGTAGCTGGGACTACAGGCACCCGCCACCTCGCCTGGCTAGTTTTTTGTATTTTTTAGTAGAGATGGGGTTTCACCGTGTTAGCCAGGATGGTCTCCATCTCCTGACCTCGTGATCCGCCCACCTCAGCCTCCTAAAGTGCTGGGATTACAGGCTTGAGCCACCGTGCCCGGCCGTGTGCTCCTGTTTCTAAGCCACAGAGGTTATGACACCAGCAGTGGCCCAGCTTGTGGTTGCACTTGCACTGGGACGTATTTGGAACCTAGTCTCTCTTCTCCTAAGGACTCTTCGTCCTGTCTAACTCAGCCCATCCTTGTAACGATCCGCCATCGCTGGAGGGTGCAGCTTACCACCTCTCTTCAGCTCGCCTCCTTTTTCTGCTTCCTTTGCAATGTTAAGTAGTAATATTGGGTAGCCCTTTGCTTCCCTGGGTCTCTTGGAAAATATCTGCTCTCCTTGGCCCCTGCTCTGTAGCTGTAGGGAAAGGTTTCTCCTGGCCTCCCACACAGCTGGGGGAGCCTAACTTGCCCTGGAGAAAGGTGGGCCTGCCTGCCTACTGCCTGAGTGCCAGGCTGAGAGCCTCGTCTCTGCATTGCTCTTCTGGTGGCACATGACACGGGGCATTTCTTTCCTTCCTAAAGCAGAGGCCTCTTGGTGGTGGGACTGCTGAATAAACACGGAGGGACTGTGGTGGCCTCAGATTCACCTCCCCCTACCCAGGGACCGTGGAGTCCTCCGTGGATCTCCTGCTCAGGAGGTTCCATGCCGGCCAGTGAGGCTTTGTTGCCTCCCTAGCAGGGCGGTGGCCCTGCCTTTCCCATTATCTGGGCCTCACGATCATTCTACAGCCTCACAATCCTTTTCTTCTAACAGCCCCACTGCCTGGCTACAGATTTGCCAAACACACCTCCCAGAGCGATCCTTCAGCCAGGCGTCCACGTCAGAGCCCAGCCCTTAGGGACCAGTGGGCACCAAGCCGTGGTTTTGCCTTCGGAACGTCTCATTGAGAAGAAATACACCAGCCACTCCTCCATCCATGTTTGAGTTTTCTACCCTTTCAAAATTAAAAGCAGATACGTAATAAAGAGTCTCAACTTGAGGCAGGAGTTAAGGGCAAGTTGTCTAATCTCCACTCCCTTCGCTGAATCCTATTTTGTGAACATCTTTCACTCCGATAAGCATATTGCTTTCTTGCAGGAAATACTGGGAACAAAATCGGGTTTGCATTTGGGATGTTGTTTGACAAATTTGCAGACGGGTCTTCGTCTCCTCCGGTCTCAGTGATCTGGGCTTCAGTGGAAAGAACATCTCCCTTGTAGAGAAAGAAGCCCACTGCCCGATCCTGGCAACTTCTGCCTGGGATTCAAGGCCTCACCAGCTAACATAGGAAGCTGTCCAATCGCCAGGCTGAGAGACACTGCAGATACGGCCTGGACAGGGTTCTCAAACTTCGTTCGGCTGCAGAGCCCGCTGTTGAGAGTCTCGTTCAGAGGTCCAATACACAGACCAGATAGAAGGGACATCCTCTGGACCGGAGGAGCCAGTACCCCAGTCACTCAGCCAGTCAGTGCCTGGGGGCCTCCATGGAGCGTTTCTAGGCCGATCCCCTCATGGCTCAGCCCTGCCTGGCCCTGAACTTCTGCTAATGCATCTGACTAATCCCCCAGCTGCAGTTTCCCATTTCTAGATCCAGTTACCTGGGGCATAAGTCACTTAAGAGCTCAAGCCTGTTGCTCCTGAGTGAAAGTTGCCCTGGCTCATAGTTCAGACCCGATATGGAGACCCACTCCTAATACCTGGGTGCCCTCCTTGATCCCAGGCCCCACTACTGAAGAAACACGACCCAGCGTGTAGTGCACTCTGCTGCCAATGAATCCATTGCATCCTCTCTGGGTATAAAGCACAGAAATCGCCCTGCACGCCCTTTCCCCTATTTTTCTCGGTTGCCATGAAAAGCCCAAAATTCTTGAGTCGTCCCTCATCGCCCGGACTCCTGTTCCCATGTGGCTCTGTGCATCCTCTGATCTAACCCCTCCTTTCTCACTCCCCCGCGGCGGAAACCTTCCCACTGTGCCCTCCCATCCCCATAGTCTCTCGCCTGTTCGGGGTCAGTCAACTTTTCTGTAAGAGCCAGATGCTGGTTTTCATCTTTGCAAGCCAAGTCTCTGTTCCAGCTACTCCACCCTGCCCAGCAGCAGGACAAGAGCGGTATCTCCATGAGTGGGTGTCACTGAATTCCAACAAAACTTTGCAAAACAGGTGGCCCAGTTCTCAGTTTCCTTTCTGGTCACTTCCAGATTCTCCCAGGAGGGTACAGCTTTCTCTGCTGTCTCTCAGCAGGCGGCCACTTCCTCTCCCAGAAGCCTCCTTCCACTGCACCAGGTTGCCAGGTCTAAGGGGGCCCTGCCAGCTCCTGATTTCTGCTCCACTGCACCCCCCGTCCCTTTTGACATTTGTGTCATCAGATCCTCTATGCCTTACTTCTGTTTACTGCAACCTTCTGCAGACCTTTGAGTCACCCCTCCTTGTGCCTTTAGGACATGGGCTCTTGGCTCACTCTGCTTCACTCCAACACTCACTTCTTCTCTGCCTTCCCTGCAGTAGCTTCTTGGTTCCTGGATATCTGCCTTCTGGGGAGCCTGTCTCAGTAGGCTCACTCCCCTGGTTATAGCCAATATCCCTGTCACCACTGATAACACCTCCCTCATCATCCCAGATCTAACATCCTACTGTCTAACCAGCACCACCGTCTTTCCCGTCCCCTCCCTCTCTCACCCTGACTCCCACGATCCCTTCGTCCCACCGCACTCTTCATCCCTGCCACCATGTCCACCCTCCTTCCAGCCAGCACAGATGCCATGTGCCACTGCTGCACTCACTCAAGGCTTGCATTTATGCTCAACATTCTTAGTCTTCTGTCTGTTTATCTTGCACACCTGGAAAAATACCAACCCTAATCAAGTCCGACCAGAGATCTGCTTGGTACCTGGAAAGGGTCAAGAAATCTGCAAAGTTGAGCAGAGTCTCACTTTACACTCATGACCTCCGACCTCGAGGAGGCCCTTGGTGACACCTGAGGGCCCTCCTGCTTTATCCCCACCCCATTCACCCTTCTGCTTTCTGAGAGAATTCTTTCAGCACCCTTGCCTCTCTCTTCACACTTCCCATCTCCTTCCTCTTTCACATTTTCAGCTGATGGCCTCGTTCCCCAGTTCCCTGAGAAAGATGCAGTCAGAAGGGGACTTTCATATATTCCCACAGCCACGCGTCTGTGCTGACAATGTGCCGCCTTACTGAACCATGGCACACAGCCCTGCCCCTGCACAGGTGGGCACCCTTCGTGTGCACCCATCCCCTTCTTGCCAATGAAGGAGCTCCGTCCTACCAGCAGCGGTTCTCTCTCACTTCTATCTCATCACATTTTCTGCCTCTGTTAGATGATTCCCATCACATAGAAAAATGCTGTCATATCTCCCATTCAGAAACAAAACCCTCTTGACTCCACTTCCACTTCTATAACCCCCTTTTTTTCTCTACTCATTTAGAGCAAAATTTCTGAAAAGACTTGTCTCTGCGGTAGCCACATGTGGCCATTCAGCACTTGGAATGTGGCTAATCTGAATTGCAATAATAATAACCATAAGTATAAAATAGACAGCATATTTCAAAGATTTAGTTACAAAACAAGGAATGACAAATGTCTCCCGAATAATTTTTTATATTTATTACATGTTGAGATGGTAATATTTTGGCTATGTTGGGTGAAATAAAATCTATGATCACTGTTAATTTCGCCTGTTTTTACTTTTTTAATGTGGCTCCTAGCAAAGGTAAATTACACATGCAGCTCACACCTCTGGCTTGCCTCATGTTTCTGTTGGCTAGGGCTGTCTATCCTCACGGTGTCCCACACCTCCCATGCTGTCTTGAACCTATGTCTGCTAGGTGTTTGTCCACGTCGCTCCACCAACACAGATGCCTTCAAGGTCTGGATGGTCTTGATGTTGGTAAACCCGGTGGTCAGTGTCCAGCCGTGTCTCTGAAGCATGTGACAGCACCGCCTGTTCACTGACCACTCGCTTCGTGGGGCGCTGTTCTCTCCATGTCCCTGCTCTGCAAGCCATCCCTCGTCAGTCTCTCTTGTTGCTTTCTCCTCTCTTGACCCCTCAGTGTGGGAGCACTGCAGGGTTGGGTCCTTTCACATCCTCACCTTCTGCGCTGGCCTCCTAGGTAGTCACATATGATTTGACTTTAAATATGAACTATGCAACTACTGCGCTTTTTTCTCCAGCTTGGACCTCCCCACTGACCTCCAGACACAGTAGAACCAACTCAAGACATGCATTCGATGTCCAAGCAACAACTAAAGCTTCAAGAAGTTCTTGGCAGAACCCATGATGTCCATTCAACCATATCTCATCATTCCTGTTGCTCACGCCCAAACTGTTGGAATCTTCTCTGATTCCCCTCTCTTTCTCACACCTCACATCTAGTCCATCAGCCAGTCCCACCAGCTTTATCTTAAGGTAAATCTGGTATCCAACTTTTTCTCACTACCTCCAACACCACCGCTCGTTCTGAGCCACCAGCGTCTCGTGCCTGGGTGACTGCAGCAGCTGGTCTCTGGCCTCACCCCCAACAGGAGAGTCTCCCACAACAGCAGAATGATTCTTTTAGACCTGTAGTTAGGTCATGTCACTCTCCTGCTCAAACTCCCCCAGTGGCTTCTGTCTCAGAGAGGATACCAGCACCTGGTGGGATTCCCTATTTCCTCTCTGACTTCCTCTCCCACAGTTCTCCGCTTTCCCTGCCCTGCTCCAGCCACACTGGTCGCTGCTGTTCCTCTAAAACACCCTGCTCCTCCCTTGGGCCCCTGGCTCACCTGCTTCCTCTGCCTGGAACAGTCTCCAGATAGTGAAGTGGGTGCCACCCTCACTTCCCATAGGCCTCTGCTCAAGTGTCACCTGCAGGGAGTTCTTTGTGCAGACCTCTCAGGTGGGAAGGGAGGCGGCCCTCACCCTCTCTCTGCAGAGCCCCTCGCTGCCCCTCCTGCTCAGCACTCAGCACTCTAAGCTGCAGTGTCTGTTTACTGATTGCGCAGTTTATTGTCTGTCTCCCTGCTAGAATGTAAGTTCCATGAGGGGAAGGACTTTGTCCGTTTTACTGTAGCCCCAGTATCTAGAACAGTGCCCGACACGTCCCAGGTGTTCTTGTTTATTGGAGGAGTGAATATGCCAGCTCAGACCTACAGTGGCAGGGCCGAAAGCCCTGCATCTCAGTTACATGCACGTGTGGTTTTGCCCCACTTGAGACCTTCTTGTTTAACCACTGAACCATTCATTCATTTGTGCAGCGCCCGCCTCCTGAGCAGCCACCGAGGCCAGCACAAAGCAGATTTCCATGGGCCAGGAACAAGTCAAAGAGAGGGGGTCTCTAGAAGGAAGGAGGTGGGGAAATAGAGCACGTGGTTGCTGGCACTCCTGGGAGGGGTGCTGGGATACCATGGAGAGGGCGGAGGGCTCCTCAAGGAGATGAGGACTGACGACAGACGTCACCTGCTTCCCACTTTTGCCCAGCGCCTGTCCAGCTCATGCCTTTATGATGGCAGAGGGCCTGCCCCTCAGCTCGCTCAGGCCTCCCTGGGCCATGGTGGCACCCTGGGCATGGCCACCACCCACACTGATGTCAGCTTACAACCACCCACAGACTCCACGCACGCCCACAGCACCCACTCCTGGGCTGGAGACCCCTGCGCAATTTTGCCCAACCCAGTCCTCGGCGGGGCGCGGTGGCTCAAGCCTGTAATCCCAGCACTTTGGGAGGCCGAGGCGGGCGGATCACGAGGTCAGGAGATCGAGACCATCCTGGAGAACACGGTGAAACCCCATCTCTACTAAAAAATACAAAAAACTAGCCGGGCGAGGTGGCGGGCGCCTGTAGTCCCAGCTACTCGGGAGGCTGAGGCAGGAGAATGGCGGGAACCCGGGAGGCGGAGCTTGCAGTGAGCTGAGATCTGGCCACTGCACTCCAGCCTGGGCGACAGAGCGGACTCCGTTTCAAAAACAAAACAAAACAAAACAAAAAAAAAACAAACAAAAACCCAGTCCTGACAGAGTCCTTCTCTCTTTCCTCTCTTCTAGGCTTTTTAGTGCAATTTTAGAACAAGCAACCAAAGCAGACGGGGCGAACGCTCTCGGAGGGAAAGGGGCCGGATTTGACGTGAAAGCGCTGAGGGCCTTCCGCGTGCTGCGGCCCCTGCGGCTGGTGTCCGGAGTCCCAAGTAAGTGAAGCCTGTTCTTGTGTACAGTGTTATCTCCTCGCCACCTTCTGCTGTCCCTTGCTGAATTGCCAAGAACACTCTGCAAAGGGACCTGCTTTCATATAAAGGGAGGGGTTTTTGTTTTTGTTTTTGTTTTAAAATGAGTTCCTTTGAGCTGAAGAACCTAACTCTGATGTAAGTACCTTAAAACACACTGTGGTCCCAGCTCCTGGAAACTCCTGGAGACGGTTCACAGCAGTCACTCAGCCACATGAATACTACACGAAGGAAGTAATCCCATGGCCATCTGAGCCACCCCGGAGGCCCTGGGATGGGGATTTAAATACAGTTTGCAGCAGAAGAGCCAGGTGGCTAATCCCCGAGGCTCCAGAGCACTTCAGCCAATGAGATTATCTCTACTTTCTGTATTTTTCCGAAGAACAATCAGGAAAGCATCAGTGGATGTTCTGAAAGTTCCGTTTTGACCTTTCTCCCAGCCCTCTCCTCCCGTCCTGTCAAATAGGGCAGTCCAGGCCTCAGGAGCCCCACTGGGGACACCACACCTGTCATTGTGAGAAGTGATTTTACCCAAAGAGAGGAGGGTATTCAGCTCTCTGAATCAGGGGAAGGGTTTGGAGAGGCATTGTCTATCCGGATGTCAGTCACTTGGACGACACCTCTTCTGCCACTCCTGCAGAAGCCTGGCCCATTATGGATGCACCCCAGGTACTGAACACAGTGGCTTCAGGCGCCCTGGGGAGGTGCCAGCAAACCCCAGCCCAAGGTGCTCCTGGGGGCTCAGTCCACTTTAGGAGAACTCCTCCTACTCTTTCCTCTTCAGTTTGTGGTGTCTGAGAACAATTCTGGACTCATTTGTTTAAATTTTACTTTCAGTTCAGTTCCAGTAGATTCGGTCCATAACTCAAGACATAGGAGACCTCTCAGACTAGGCTAGGACCAGATGAGCTTGGAGATGGGGTGAGGGACAGGAAGACAGATGACCTCCAGATGCACAGCCTCTCCTACCCATGCCATGCACTGAGCACTTGGTTCCCAGTGTGCTGCTGGTTGGTATCTCATGGAGTCATGAAACCGTGGAAATGTGAGGGGCTTTATATTAACCAGTTATTCATGCACAGAACAGTGAAAAGATCTTCCTGTGACTTTAATTAACTAGCAGTAGAGCCAAAACTAGAATCAGGTCTCCTGATTTCTAGACCAGCTCTTTTTCCTACCACACTGCACTGCCTCTTTTAAAGAATTAAGTGGTATATATCTCTTGATTGTCTTGGAATTTTTTTTTTTTTTAAGATGGAGTCACGTTCTGTCGCCCAGGCTGGAGTGCAGTGGCACGATCTCGGCTCACTGTAACCTCCACCTCCCAGGTTCAAGCGATTCTCCTGCCTCAGCCTCCCGAGTACCTGGTACTACAGGTGCATGCCACCATGCTCAGCTAATTTTTTTTTTTTTTTTTTTTTGTATTTTTAGTAGAGACGGGATTTCACCATGTTAGCTAGGATGGTTTCGATCTCCTGATCTCATGATCCGCCTGCCTCAGCCTCCCAAAGTGCTGGAATTACAGGCGTGAGCCACTGTGCCTGGCCGATTGTCTTGGAGTTTTACACATATATCCTGTCTCTTAAACTACACCATAAGCCCCTTGAAACCAAGAACTGTGCCTTCTATTGCCTCTGATTCCCACACAATACCTAGTTCAGTCTCTAAATAAGCAAAGGGAACCTACTAAATAAGCAAAAGCAAGGGTTTGTTTTCTTTGCAGTGGGACTCCCTGGGCAAAGCTTGTGGCCTGTCTTAAGCTCAAAAGGCACACAGAGCTGAGCACACAAGCACAATTAAAGCCGACTTTCTCTACTCAGCCTTGACTGTTTGGGAGTACTTAGGAATAGAAACTGCATATATCATGGCCAGGACTCACTTCTTTTTGAAGCCTAAATTATTTGGGTTTTCCTTGTCAATCAACCATAACTCAATAGCCCAAATCAGGAAGTAGGAAGGGAAGATGACAGTGACTTTGAACATGACTTTAAGGAGCTGATAATGGTACTGCCAGTGTGTCAGTGATAGGAACTAGGAGTTAATTCCAAATGCCAGCCAACCAAGCAAAATGGACACAGTGACCCTTGGCCTGTTATCTATGTACTTATTAGGGGCCTACAATTCTTATTAGGGATATTAGGGCATATCATAAAGAACAAGCATGGTTCCTTCACTAGATAAATTTGACAGTCTAATAAAAGAGTATATCAGTCAACTTTTGCTGTAGGAATAAACAGTCCCAAACTCTCCACGGCTTACAACCAGCAACTTTTACACCTGGCTCCTGGCACCTGAGGATGGTGGTCAGCTGCAGCTCTACTGCCCGCAGCTGGACTCTGGGCTTGACCTCATTCTGCGTGCCCTTCAATTCCAGAGCCCAGGTCAAAGGAGCCCTCACCTTCGGTGTTAGGCCTTGTAGTTGTCATGGCTGAGAGCAGATGCTCACAAAATGGGGCCTAGAGCCAACCGCACCAGCAACTTAAGGCTTATGCTTAAATGTGGCTTCTGTCCTAGCTGTTCACATTCCACTGGCCAAAGCAAGTCCCATGGCCACCCTCAGAGATAACGGGGCCAAGAAGTGTGCTGAACCTTCAGAGAAGCATGGGTGAACGATTGAGAACACATAGCAGCCTACCACAAAGAGACCGAGGAGATGATTGTTATCAACAGCAGTAGCTACAATAATTGCTCTAGTCCAGAGATGCTTAATTAGAGATGAATATGGTTGAGAGCCTCTCATGCTACAGTGCATTAAAAGGAAGAATTAGATTAGATTGGGTCACTTGGGTTCCACTACAGAGGAAACTTCCCGAGGACGGAGCCCTGTCTCCATCTGTACTTAAGCAAGGTAGATGTGTCTTGCAGTGGTCAGGAAGCAGTAACACTCCTAGAAATTCTCTCAAGACGATGAAGGCCTCAAATGCAAAGCCCTCATGTTACCTGCCGTGCAGTCCAGGAAAATATTTTCGCCATTAGAGATGATGACACTGAGATGGTTTTGCTGTTGTGGGTGCCCTGCAGGTAGCTCCATGCTTATGCGTAGGAGCAACAACTGTGTCTGGTTTCCTGTGGGTCACCAGTAAAATGGTGACTTCCTCAGCTCATGCAGCCTTCTGCCCTTTCTTGCTGGAATAGTGTCTGTGCAGCTTTTGAAACAGGGAACCATGCAGACCATGGTGGATCCGTGCATTGTGCCAGTGTGGTTGGTGTCATCTACAAAGATGTCAGCAGTATCTCCCCCGACTACAAACCTAGACAAATGCCTCCTTCTTCTACTTCTCATAACCTAGGTTATCTCCTTCTGTATTTCAACAAAACTCCTCAAGAGTTGCCTCTACCTGTTGTCTGTGATTCTTGTCCTCCTGTTCTCTCTTGAATCCACTCTGATGGGGCTTTCTTTCCCACTGCTGCACCAAAACATCTCCTGTCCAGACCATCAGCGATCACCGTTACTGCACCCAGTGCTCTGTGCTCCAGGACCGTGTTACATGATCTGTTGACAGCTTTGGATACAGCTGATCACTCCTTGTCTTTGAGCCACTATTACCCTTGGCCCTTGGGACACTGTTCTTTTTTTTTTTTTTTTTTTTTGAGATGGAGTCTCGCTCTGTTGCCCAGGTTGGAGTGCAGTGGCGCCATCTCGGCTCACTGCAAGCTCCTCCTCCTAGGTTCACGCTATTCTCCTGCCTCAACCTCCCTAGTAGCTGGGACTACAGGCACCTGCCACCACGCTCGGCAATTTTTTTTTTTGTATTTTTAGTAGAGACAAGGTTTCAACATCGTTCGCCAGGATGGTCTCGATCTCCTGACCTCGTGATCCGCCCGCTTCGGCCTCCCAAAGTGCTGGGATTACAGGGCACCCTGCTCCGGAACACTGTTCTTTCTTAGCTCTGCCCTTCATGTGCTTGTTTCTTCTTCTTGGAATCCTTTGCTGACCTCTGTCTCATCTTCTCACCCTCTTAACATTGGGACACTCCAGGGGTAGATCCTGAGACCTCTCCTGTGTCCATACTCACTCCCTAGTTATCACGTCCAGCCTCCTGGTGTTAAATATAATCTCTGTATCTTCCAATAACCACCAGCTGTGTGTCACCAGCCCAGACCCTTTCTCCAAACCTCAGACTTGCATCTCTACCTGCCAACTCCATTCCTCTCCTGTCTGAATAGCTAATAAGTATCTTGCACTTAGCAAGACCCATGGCAGAACTCCCAGTCTTCCCAAAGTTTTTCTCAGCTGGGTAAATGCTAGCCTCATCCTTCTAGCTTCTCAGGCCTTATTGGACTTATTTCTTTTTATCACTCTTTGCATACAATCCATCAGAAAATCCTACAAACTTTACCTTCCAAACATATCAAGAATTTGTCTCTTACCACCTACACACTCGGCTCAGTGCTGGCAGCCCTCGCCTCTGACCTGGATGATGGCGACAGCCTCCTGAAGGAGTCTCTGCCTCAACCCCTATCATGGCCTGGACCTAACACAGCATTCAAACAGCCCTCTGAACAGCCAAGTCGGATCATGTTCCTACCCTGCTCACGACCCTCCAAAGCTTCCATGACTTGCCCAGAGTGAGCTCCAAAGTCCCATAGGCCCTGCAGTCTCACGCCTTCTTCCTCCCTGAGCTCACCTCCTTCACCCTCCCCTCCTTTCCTTCCTTACCAGCCCTCCACAGTGACCCCCTTGCTATTCCTCCAACATTCCAAACTCACCCCACTGTGGGGTGGTGGCCGGCGCTGCTCCTTCTGTCTGAACGCCCTCGACTCAGCTCTCCACAAAGGCCTGTGCACCTCTTCAGCCCCCTCTGATGCCGTCCCGTCACCCCATTCATCCACCCTTCCCTGCTCCATTTCCCCACATCACCTCTCACCATCTGCCATTCTATACGTGTACGTGTTCATTTGCTTATCACCCCTTACCTCATGAGAATGTAACCTATATGAGGCCAACAGTTTCTGTTAGTTGT